ACAGTGAAGTCACTATTGAAAAATTGATAATTTTAGTCCGATTGTCATGAAGTCCTACCCTTCATAGAATTCTGGTTACGCCACTAGTTGTAGTCCATTCCACCTTAATAAGAATATTGTGCAATGACTTCCTTCTAATTTTTTTTCAATCAATTTGATCAAATCACATCAATCTAATTTAAATTAAAGTAATTTGATTAAATATAATAGTATATTAAATTAATTTAAAAATCTTATTGATCAATTAAATTAGCTTAGTTTTAAAAATATTAAAAGTTGATCAAATCCACACCAAAAACACCCATAATTGAAAGACTACTGTATTCTCAACAAATCTTTTCAACACAGCTGCAAGCCTGCAATCTACTTATGTTGAAAAAGGGGAAAACCCAAATGTTAACCCCCCAAAGGCATAAACCTTAAAAGGAAAAAAGTGGCATGAAGTCCCCAGGCACTTAGAGTTGAGTAAATTAGCTTGTGTTAATGATGGAAGTACGTGGGTTAAAGTATATATTTAACCCCTCATTTTAATAAATTTAAAGATTTTAACCCTTTGTCCTACAATATAAAATTGTAGCTTAAGAACCTAAAAGTTTGAAGATTTTAATCTCTAAATTAATGATATCTGTTAACTTCCCATTAAAGTGAAAATAGAATATTTACAGAATTAGTTCTTAAAGATTAAGAATATAACAATTTAGTTTCAAAAGTTTAAAAATTAAAAAGATTCGTAAATTAAAAATAATTAGTAAATTAAAAATAATTAGTAGATGTTTTTGCCACATAAACAAGAATGGTATTAGGTATCTATAATCAAATTAAGTGATTAATTCAATCTAAGAAAAGTAATTTAATTGATATTAAAAATAATTTATTAATTGTATTCTTTTAGTGTTTTGGGCTTTGTAGCTAAGAAATTCTTTTTAATTTAAGTTGGAATTCTTTTCTTCAAATTAGGTTAATCACTTGACTTATTATAGATATTTAATAATATTCTAGTGTATGTGAGAAAATAATTTATTAATTCTTTTTAGTTTACTATTTTTTATTTTGATTTTTAAACTTTTAGTATTAAATTGTTATATTTTTAATTTTTGAATATTGATTCTATGAAAAGTTAACGAATTCCATTAGTTTAAGAGTTAAATTCTTCAAATTTTTAAGTTTAAGGATTAAAAACTTTATAATATAATGTCAGAGATTAAAAACTTTAAAATTAATAAAGTAAGAAATTGAATGTATATTTTAAACAAGTATATGTGATAACGTGAATTAATTAATTATTCGTTATGTTAGTTTATGTAAGAATTCCTTTACACTTAAGTGTTAATAATTATATATTTTCTTATAATTATTAATATAAAATTAATAATTTTGGTAATAGAAAATATAAAAGGAGAAGGAAAAAAATTCATATGTTTTGAAATTTAAAATATCAAAATATTTAATAATAATATATGATAAATTTAATAAAATTAAAAATTATATTGTAT